CAACCCCTCAGGCCGTAAATCACAGAAACCCCCCAAAACTCCAAGAATCCCGATACATCGCTCGAGAAACCCTTACACGACTCCTGCTTCTACTGTTGATGATATAAATCCTGCATTATCCATAATAAGGAATATACCATTATTCCCATAGCTTAGGGTCTTTAGGGTAATGCAAGATTTATATCATCAACCGTATGACATATTCAGCACCCTAGATCCCCAATGCCTAAACTACTATTTGCTTAAGAACCCCCAAAAAATAAAAATTCCTTATGGGGGTAATATAGGGATTGTCATTTTTATTTTTTGTGGGTTTCTTAAGCAAATAGTAGTAAACCCCAAAAACATTAATCCCCTAAAGCCCCGAGACTCCAAGACCAAAAAGAACCCCGTAAGCGTTCAACAGCAAACTCCAAACTATCCCTAAGGCTCTACATGGCCCAAAAGCCTTAAATAAGATGGTCTTTAGGCCCAAAAAACCCTAAAAATATTAGTCCTTAGAACCTTACCTAGAGGGTCATACCCTACCCCCTTTTTAGGATACCTAATTTTATGGTTAGGATCTGTTATACAGAAAATTAGGTACCTTAAAAAAGGGGTAGGGTACGAGCCTCTAGGTAGGGTATAAACCCCAAACCCAAAACCCTGACATCCCGAATCTCTAGCCGTTGGAACCTCTCCTGGAGGTTTTAAAACTCCGGTGGTAAGTATCTTGCCGTCGTCCACCGCGTAGGGCAGCACCGCATCCTCAAAGTGGGGTTTAGGGTATAGGGTACGGGGTTTAGGATTCTACGGGCTTAGGGTTTAGAGCGTGCCAAACGAAAGTGTGCTTTGTGAGCATGCACCTCGCCTTCAGACGTTCCCGCCCCAAGACCACCCGTTTACCTCTCTCGGAGTCTTGACGTGCTTTACATGCGTATGGGCGCTGCCTGCCGTGCAATACCGCCTTTAGCAGAAAAGGGTTTGCAAACTGGAGGCCGTGGACTTTTGTGTTGTCTGCTTTGCAGCGTCACTTTTCCCTGCATTTGGGTAGGCAAGTACAGTTACAAGCACCTTAAGTGGAGATATAACTACTTAGTTATAGGTATAGTTACCTTACAGTAGACGCCCAAAAGTTAGAAACCACATAGCCTCAATCCTTAAGAGTAATATATAAGGGATTCCCAGCACTATTTGGCCTTAATACGGTTTCCAACTGTATTGGGTTTATTGTAGTTATAGCTCTACTTACTAAAATCCCTGATCCTCTGGGTAGACCCTAAACACGAAACCCTCTAGATCGTGGTAAGGAACCCTACAGCTCCCATATTAAGGAACCCTAAAGATCCCATTAAGGAACCACATAGATCCCTTAAAGGAGCCTTACTTAGAGGATCGTGGGACTTAGTAACTAGGGTTATAATTAAGGCAACTATACTTATAAATACTTATAATTAACCCCACTTAGGGTACATATAAGCCTTACTAAGTCCCATGATCCTCCAAGTAAACCAGGGGACATGGACGATGTCGTCCAAGAACCATCCTGCTGTTTTCGGCTGCGCTCCGAGATTTTCGCTGCCGTACTTGTGCTGTCGAAACCCCAAACCCTAAACCCTACACCCCAAACCCTAAACCCTAAACCCTGAACTGAACCCTGAACCCTAAGCCCCAAAACCATCTTATGTTGCGCTTTTGCGTACGAAACCAGGAAGAGTCGGTGGACTAGGCTAGGCTTGCTATGATGATGCTGGTGATAAAACATAGTAATACTAGTAATAACGATAGTATTCTTGATGATTCTTAATATTGTCTTGATGATTTTCTTGTTCTCCGTATTCTTACTTATTGTTTCTATTATGATTGCTATTGTCCAGCAATAAAATTATTTGCTAGTTGAGAAAAGTGTATTACGAGAATTAACAATATGTTTATTGCTATCATTGTGTCACGAACAGCCTGTGGGGTGGGTGGGCTGCTGCCCCTGAACCCCTAAACCCTAAAGCTAAAGCCTAACTTAGGGCCTAAACCCTAAAGCCAAACCCTAAACCCCTGAACCCCAAACCTTGAAAGCTAGACCCCAAACCCTGAAAAAATCCCTAAAGCCTAAACCCTAAAGCCAAACCCTAAACCCCTAAACCCCAAACCTTGAAAGCTAGACCCATAAACCCTTAAACAAAACTCTGTGATAAGCTTCTCATGGAGCTGGGACGGGTCGAGGCATGCTCGCTCTCATCCCTCTGATGAAGGTATACCATAGAAACTCACTACAAGTGTGTGTGTGTGTATATATATATATACTTATATATAAATATATGTATATATAAATATATGTACATACATATATATATATATATAAACTTACTCTGTCTCTCTCTCCCTCTCTCTCTCTCTCTCTCTCTCTGTCCCCCTGCGTGTGTGTTATACACATCTCTCTCTGTATATATATATATATATATATATATATGTACATATGTATATATGCATATAGGTATATATCCATATACGTATATACGTATATACCTATATACGTATATACATACACATGTATTGTATACGCGTATATAGGTAAATATGTCATATATGAGTAGTCGACCAATGTAGAGAAGCAACCTGTGGAATTGTGTGGAAGAGGCGGATGTAGATCTTGGGGGGGGGGGGTGACCATATGTATATATATATATATACATGTGTATGGGCGTATCTGCGTTTATGTGTACAGGTGCAGATGTGTATGTGTGAAACTCTCTCTCTTTATATATATATATATAGATAGATAGATAGATAGATAGACTTATTTGCTTACGCAAACATACTCCGCAAGTACGTCCGATGGGCTATGTTGATTGGCGGCTTTGGTCACCACCAAACGAACAATTGAGCCCAAGTCCTTTGAGAGCGGATTGAGCTTAGGAAGTACGGCTTGGAGATTTGAGGGTTTGTATGCGGTCACGCTTGCGCTTTCAGAGTGTAGATTTTCCTGACTGCTGGGGGTCTCAACCCAAAGCCCCAAGCAGAGCCAAGATTTCAGCTGCCAGGTGGCGGCGTAGGGCCTGATAAGCCGGTGTGGCCCGGACGATGTCAGGCCTGAGTGCTCTTTTCGTGGTTCACTGCCTCACGAGGTACTCCTGGAATCTATGAAGCCTGACTTCAACGGTTTAGGGTTTAGGGTTTAGGCCCTGAGCCCTAAACCCTGTATCATTCTTTCAAGCCTTGAGTTCCTGTGGAGGTTCTAAAAAAGCACTGAGAGTGCGGCGATGTGGGCTGCAGTTGCGAGACCCGCTCTGCCAGAAGTTCCTGTGCGCTGACGGTTTGGGGCTTATAGCTTATATATAGGGTGTATAGGCCTAGTTTAGGCTTTAGGGCGCAGAGTTCAGGGGGTTGGCTTCATTGTAAGCAACTGGGTTCAAAACCGCGGTTTGCGGGCCCCACAAAGAAATTGACGGGCAAGGGAGCTGTACATATGGTTCAATCCTTAACCGTTGAAAACCGTATTAAACCCTTAATCGCTTGGAAGCCCCAAGCAGTTCTGTAAGGTTTACCCGACCAGAAGCCAGAGGCCTTCAGGAAGATGCTCGAGAACACCCAGCAACCTTACTGTCATTCTTCCTCCGACTATGAGCTTGAATAATCATTCTTTACCCTAAACTACCAAACCCTACTTTTTTGGTAGGGCCTTACTATAAATCCTAATATGGAAGTATAGGGATCCTACAAAACAGTAGGTTTTGGTAGGTTAAGGTACACCCTTAATATAGCTATTATATACCCATGATATAGCCCATTGTAGGGTAGGGGTCCCCATTAATTAAGGGTCCCTCCTTTTCCGCTTTGATATAAGACAGTGCGATCATTTCCACACGATCGACCATGACCACCGGCGTCCTCCGGCATCCTCCGACGCAACCCCCACCCCCCACCCGCGGCAAACAAGGGTGACGGACCCTAAAAACCTAAACTCTATAGATCCCTTATAGTAACCCTATAAAGCCCATCGATCCCTTTAAAGGAACCCTATAAATCCCTACTTAAAGGCTCATAGGACTTAGTAAGTAAGGTTCTAAGTAGGTTATAATTCGGATAACCCCACTTAGGGCACTTATCACCCCAATTATAACCTACTTACTAAGTCCCATGATCCTCTAAGTAGCACCAGCAGTACGAGAACCGGCACTGGTACTAGTGTACGAGGAGGAGGAGGAGGAGGAGGAGGAGGAGGAGGAGGAAGAGTAGTAGGAGGCGAGGTAGCTGTGGTAAGTAGCCGTAGTGGTTTCAAGTGACAGCAGTGGTACCAGCGGCAATGGTGGAGCCTTGGCGTAGTGGGAATAGCGGAGACGTGATTTTCTGGCTAAGGCATCGGCGAGAAGACTGTCTAGATTGAGCACTCGCTACCGGGCAGCTAGTATTGAAGTGATGGTTGCGAGCACGCGGTTTATTGGGCAGGTCCCCTTCAAAGCTTTTGCATGGTTACAGTATACGAGGGGGCATACATGTAGTTGGATATAGGTACAGTTACCTCACTTGCAACCGTACTACTTACCATCGCAAGTACCCTGAGCCTTGAACATCATCGTGATCCTTAAACCGGCTTTCTATGTCCGCTGATCCTTGGATGAGGGTTCGTTGCAAGCGCCTAAATCCTGAAGGATTAGCAGTGGCCGTGGCCGCAAGGGTTTTCGTAGGGTTGAGGGTTTAAGGTATATGGTTTGGGGTTTCAACGGAGCAACATAGTGATTCTGTCAGGGATCCCTGAACGGTTCTGTGACTTGTGGGTTCTGTTTGGGTGAGGTTTGGGATTCCGGGTTGGTGCCGGACAATTTATGGGAGTTCGGTCGTGGGTTCTGGATGAGCTTCTTGCATGGGGTTAGGCTTGAGGCATTCAGGTTGAGGGATGTACGATACTTGGGATTTAGTACTTAAGTTTAGCCATTAAAACCCACCTACGGATGTAGACAAAGGATCCAAACTTGAAACCCCAACCCCTAAAGTTCCCTAAAGTTTAGGGACTTGCGGATGTGCGCCTCAAGCTGCAGCGGCTCGTCACTCTCCGTGTCCTCCTCCTCTGGGTGCTCGTCAGGCACGCTCTGCTCGAAAGTTTCCAGGTCCATTGAGGCAGACGTCCAGAAGTACACCCATGACGACCTAAATACCCTTGAGCCAGGATTGTGGCCTGAACCTCTACATAGATATTCCTCTGAAGTTCGGAACCGGCGCATCAACCGAATGTAAGCGGATTCTACGGTTTAGAGCTTGGAATGTTAAAGAGTGCGAGGATCAAGGTGTAATTAGGATTTAGGGGGGGTTTAGAGGTTTGTTGTGGTTCGGGGTGTGGGTGTTGATGGTTAGGGGCTGAGGGTTTGGGGCTATAAAAGTTGGGGCTAAGGCGACCACCAGGGTTTCAACCTCCAAGCTCCGCTATAGGTGCCTTAATAATTAGAATAGGGTTTGGTGGGGTATATTATACTATTTTAACTAAAATAAAACCACCAAAATAGTATAGGCAGTTATTTAGGCCCCTATATTGAACACAAAGACCCTCAAGACACTGATGCCTTCAAGTCTTGGGCTACCTGATGCAAAGGCGCTAGAGGGTTTAGGATTTAAGGTCTAAGAGTCGCTATGATAATGGCTTTGGGTTTAGGGTTTCGGGTCTGGGTTTAGGTTTAGGGTTTAGGGTTTCAGGGGAAGTTATGCATGGCATTGAGGGCTTGGGCTTCACCGGATCCTATAATATGCGGGCTTCAGCTTGCTCAACATATCAGAGGTCCCGCTCAAGCATGGTTGCGTGTCAGGCAAGCGTAATCACAACGACTGACAAGCCCAATTACAGAAAAGTTCTCATATACCGGCTTACACTCTAACTTCTAACTGTCAAAAAGGAATCCTGGTTGCTTGCTACTCCTGAAACCTTCGACCAGGTCGTGTACATGAGTTCTGGGACGTAGGGCATAGGCTTTTAGGGTTCAAGGTTAAGGCCCCAGGTTTTTAGGGCCTTTTTGGGCCTACCCGAAAGTACCAAAACTTACTTTGTTGTAGGATCTTACTCTAAGCCCGAATATAGAACTTATAGGGACCCTACAACAAAACAGGTTTTAGTAGGTTAAGGTAGGCTTTCTGGCCCAGGTTCTGCGAAGAAAATGGTAAAATTTTCTGGCTTTGGTTGCGACGAAAGGCTTCTAACGGTTCAAGGGTTTAGGGTTTACGGCTCTAGGGGTTTAGGGTTTAAGGGTTCAGGGTTTCGGGTTTAGGGCTCTCAGGTTTAGGATTCAAGATTTGGAGGATTTCAGCTTCAATTAGGATTTCGACCTGTCAACAAGGCCTAAACTGTAAACCCTGGCCCTGAAACAGTAAACCTTGGGTGCTGCCCCCATGCAGTCACAGTCTTTCATAGACGGGCTACTCTTAAGGTCCTAATATATGCCTATTTGTGATCCAACTGTTACTGAGTGGGGCAGTACCCAAAGTAATCCCAACCAGCAATATACCGGCCTTAATAATCTTAGACTAAGGTTTTGGGGCCCATAATACTGTGATTAAACAAGAACCCTACCCCCCAGATAATATATGCGAAATTATTTAGGCCCTTATATTTAATTAACCCTGAACCCTAAACCCCAACCAGTGGACACGCGAGTGCCAGACAAGAATCGGCTGCCCGACCTGCCCGAGACAGCATCGAACTCTAAATTTCTACAGCCCCCCTAAACCCCTAAGCGCGTAGGACCTTTATGCTCTATTCACGCATTCGGTTTGGTTGTTAAAATGCTTTGCCACAGAGATCGGTATTCGAATAGCTAGCCATTTACGTTTTAAGGGCTTTTAAAATGTTAAAGGCCTTAAAATCTTTGAAATCTGTAAAATTGAAATGGGAGAAGGTTTTGGATTCGGAAAGGTTAAGAAACCATTTAAATTTTTACGAATCTTTAAAACCTTTAAAATTCAATCTGCTGGCCATTTAAATTTGAAGGATTTTCTTTAAACATATAAATGGCCTTCAATTCTGGGGTACGTGTAGGTTCCAAGCCGCGAGCAAAGGAGAGGATTGGACCAAATTTTGGGGAACAGCTTGTCCGGCAAGATTTGGTCCAATCCTCTCGACTGTGATTTCCTATCGGTATTCAAACAAAACAGGACATGACAACCGCTTCGATAACAGCTCGACGGCACAATTCGGTCCAATCCTCGGTATGTGTATTCATTTGTCCCCATCCGTTGCTTCCGAGCCACGAGCACAAGAACGGATTGGACCAACAACTGGAGAACAGCTTTCCAACCCTCCCTGCTGTCATTTCCTGTCGGTATCCAAAAAAGAACACGATATGACAAAAGCTCCGATAGCAGCGTGGTGGCAAAATTTGGTCCAATCCTCTCTGCTGTCGTTACTACCGGTATTCAAAAAATGACACGATATGATAGCAATTTCCATACCAGCTCGACGGCAAAATTTGGTCCAATCCTAGGTATGTGTATTCCCTTATCCGTATCCTTTGGTTCCAAGCCACGAGCAAAGGAAAGGATTGGACCAAATTTTGGGGAACAGCTTGCCTCTGGCAAAGTATGGAGCCATCCTTTCTGCTGTCATGTCCTAGCACCATCCACAAAATAGCACGATATGGCAACAGTTCCGTTAACATCTCGCCGGCAAAATTTGGTCCAATCCTCCCTGCTGTGATTTCCTACCGGTGCGTAAAAACATACCATATGACAAAAGTTCCCAAAAGAGCTCGCCGGCCAAATTTGGACAAATCCTCGGTATGTGTATTTATTCACTTCTCCTCATCCTTTGGTTCCAAGCCACAAGGAAAGGAAAGGATTGCACCAGATTTCCGGCAACAACTTGCCCAGTACAAATTGGTCCACTCCTCTCTGTTGTCATTTCGCGTCGGTAACAGCAAGGAAGCAAATAACATGAGGCTACCAAAGTTCCGGGAACAGCTCGCCGGCAAAATTTGGAACAGCTTGCCCGGCGACACTGACAACGTTCCAAGCAAGCCAAGCCGTGCCAGGTATGGAGAATAACATAGCCCGCTGTCGGTTGCTGAAGGTGACACTTCTTGCCAAGGGCCACGCAGCACTCATGCGTCGAAGACGATAGGTCTCGTCTAGATCGGCCGTGTTGCAGCGAATGTCTCGGCCACACCATTGCAGTCGGAAACCGCAGCCAACGTCTTGTGATGCTCGAAGGAGAAGAATTGAGACGGAAGGTCTGAAGAATGTCATGTGAGGGAGAAGCACTGCCTCTATAATCGAGGATGTTTGCGTTGTCTTCGTCTTCTATCACAAAGACGGCACACCACATCGAAGGCGTGAGTGTTCGCAATCAAGGGACTCAACTGCGAGGCGAGATCAAATGCCAGCCCTGCCTTCGCCTGGCCCAATACAAACCGCTCAAACTCATGTGTTCGATGTCCGAATTCCACCGACAACTCACCGTCTGCATCCACTTTCGCCGCCACAAAATGGTGAGAGTACGCCAAGACATACTTGCCCGGCGACTGCAGCATGCAGCTCCACGTGGTTGGTGTCAGGACTTTCCTGACATTCTTGCACGGGGTGCATTCAATACACAGAACAAAACAGCCGCTTATTCTTCTTGCCAAAACACTGCAAGCTCAGCCAGGAATTTCCATCGCGCAAATTTCGAAATTGACCATCGGCGAAATACGGAGCCTTCATGCCCAGGGTCCTGAGGCTGTCCGCAAGATATGCTCCAATCCTCTTTGTTGTCATTTCCCATCGGTTACAACAAGAAAGCAAAGCTCGTCCTGGTTGTTTCAGTAACGAGTCAGCGAGATAGGACAAGAACAAGGAATGAAGAGACGCCGAAGGCAAGGCACTTTCGACTGTTTTCTACATCGCCTCTTTTTTACACCACTCTCTCTCAATCTCTCTCTTCCGGGTAAGAGGTAGGCTCCCTTTCTCTTTCTCTTTCTGATTATCTTCTTTCTTACTTTCTCTCTTTGTTTCTGTCTTCTCGATCTGCTTCTGCCCCTCTCGGATTCTCTCTCCGTTTCTTTTGTCTTTCTCTTACTCCCTGGTCTTCTTCCTTGCGAACCGTCCTTCTTCCTTCTGGGTGATAGAGGGAGAAGGACGGGAGGCAGGAAGAGGAGGAGAAGGGATAGGGGAAGCGACGGGACGAAGAACGTGGCAGAAAGTTAAATAAACAAATATATCTATCTATATATATATATATATATACATACATTTATACACACACATATCAACGCAAACCTAATAGGCGGAGAGAAGCGGAAAAGGGAATGTGCAGAGGTAGACGGAAAGGGAGGGCGAGAGAGGGAGAGAGAGAGAGAGAGAGAGAGATGGAGAGAACAATGACAACGAGTAAGGAAGAGATGATGAGAAAGAGTGCCCCTTACATGCCTTGAACTCTCCGTCCCTTTCATGTCTCCTTCCTCGTGAAGCAGAATAGGAGAAGAGAAGAGGAAGAAGCAAAGGACAAGAAAGTGAGAGAGCCGAGCGAAGGAGGAGTTCTCCTTTCTTCTCCGAACCATCTTCCCCCATTCTGTTGTCCACTCTTCGTTCCTTCTTTTCGCAGAGCCTTTCCTCCTTCCATTCCTTTTCTTTCTTCTGTCATTGAAAAAGTAAACGAGGAAGAGACACGGCCTAGTTCTCCTTGCTCTTTCTCTGCTTCTTTACATCTCCCTGATTTCTTTATACTTGTTCTGGAATTCATGGGCACGGGGTGGAAAGGGCTTTTATTGTTTTGTTTCTTCCGCTCTCTGGAACTCCTCTCTGGGAGATCCTGTCTAGAGACCCTCGATGGAGGCCCTTGGGAGGGCTCCCTTCGAGTGAAGGGTCAGCTCTTCATCTCAACCCTCATGCTGGCGCCTGGAACTTAAAAGGATCCTACAAAAAGTATGATCCCCACATGCTGTTGAAAACTATGAAACGAAAGCTAGAAAGCAGCGTAGATCCCAAAACTAAACAAGACGAGCTTCTGAACCCTGAACCCTCAAATCTACATCCAGAAACCCCTATATAGCCCCAAAACCTGATCCCGAATATCAAAATCCGATATCAGGAGCCACAAGCCCGAAATCATTGAGTCGTACACCCTGGCATGTGAATCAAATTCCGACTCCACACC